GTTTGGAGCAAAAGGAAGAAACATTCAACCAGAACAGAATGAAGAAACAAGAATTAAAAAAAAAAAAAAAAATGACCAGAGGCTTAGAAACCTCTGGGACAACTTTAAACATTCCAATGTCTGAATCATAGGGGTGCCAGAAGGAGAAGAAGAGCAAGAAATTGAAAACTTATTTGAACGAATCATGCAGGAGAACTTCCCCAATCTGGCAAAATAAATAGACTTCCAGGAAGTCCAAGAAGCTAATAGAATCCCAAAGAAGTTGGACCCAAAGAAGCACACACCAAGGAATATCATAATTATGTTACCCAAGACTAAAGATAAAAAGAGAATCTTAAGATAAAAGGAAACAGTTACCTAAAAAGGAGTTCCCATCAGACTATCAGCTAATTTCTCAAAAGAAACCCTGCAAGCAATAAGGGGCTGGAAAGAAGTGTTCAAAGTCATGAAAGGCAAGATCCTACATCCAAGATTACTCTATTCAAGAAAGCTATCATTTAGAATAGAAGGGTAGATAAAGTACTTCCCAGATAAGGTCAAGTTAAAGGAGTTCATCATCACCAAGCCCTTATTATATGAAATGTTAAAGGAACTTATCTAAGAAAAAGAAGATGATCAAAAATGTGAATAGTAAAATGACAAACTCACAACTGAAACTAGTAACAAAACAAATTAAGCAAACAACTAGAACAGGAAGAGAATCATAGAAATGGAGATCACATAGAGGGTTATCTGTGGGGAGAGACTAGGGGGGAATTGAAGAAAAGGTACAGGGAATAAGAAGCATAAATGATAGGTTCAAAATAGACAGGGGAAGGTTAAGACTAGTATAGGAAATGGAGAAGCCAAAGAAATTATATGTATGACCCATGGACATGAACTGAAGGGTAGAGCATACAGGGCAGAGGGGAATAAAGGAGAGAAAAAATGGGACAACTATAATAGCATAATCAATAAAATATATTAAAATAATAAATAATAAAGGGTAAAGCATAAATACATTTTAGTAATATTTGTAAACAGGAATATGTTGACTGCAGAAGCCAAAGAAACCTAATAGGTGTTGGGTTTGCTCAAGAGTAGTTGAGGTTGAAAAACTAGAAGTTGCCTTTTAACTATGTTAGGAGTGGAGCTGCCCTCAGCAGAGCACATGAGGCCTAAGAATTCATGTGAGGTAACAGGCCCCTGAAACTCATGTGGGGCAATTACCAATTCCCTCTCAGTACAAGCAGTCATAAATAGAGGTGTATACCCTGTGTCAGTGTGTCTCAGATTAAGAAAATACCTTAATACCAATATAATACCATACCCTGGGAACATAGGGACAACTGGATCCAGCCAAGATCTTGTCAGAAGCTGTGTGTTATAGCCAGGCTATTTATGTACCCTATGAGCAACAAAGTTAAAATGTATTGTGTCCCTTCAAAGCTAAGTGCAAAGTGAGAGGTTGTTGAAATATGTACTGAATAGAATGTAGTAGCCAAATCTAAAAAAGCAAAATATTTGGCAGTGACACATGGAATGGTGTTGGTTATTTCTCTCCCCTACCCCAACTTCATTAAGGCATAACTAACAAATATATTGTATATATTTATACAATGTGGCCTTGACTGGTGTGGCTGAGTTGGTTGGGGATCAACCCGCAGAGAAAAAGGTCACCAGTTCTGTTCCCAGGGCACATACTGTAAAATGATTCTCATGCTCAGTTGACACATCCATAACCTCACAATTACCTTTTTGTGTGTATGTGTGATGAGAACACTTAACATTTACTCTCTTAGCCAATTTCAAGTGTACAATAACTAGTATTAACTATAGTCACTTTGCTATACATTAGATTCTATGTATTTACTCATTTGACAATTGAAAGCTTATATACTTTTGGTCATACCGTTATGCTGGGTCTTATTTTAATGGGTGGGACCATAGCATTAGGTTGTAGTAACCTGCCCTAAGATACCACTCATTCTTTCTAGGTCTAAGATAGGCCAAATTGGGCTGTAAAATGAAGAAAGAATGGGAATAATGACCTCTTCTCTTTATATTGATCTTGTATACTAGATCTGAATTAGTAAAGGCCTTTTTTCAATTTATTTGGGGCCATATCAACAATTTTAATGGGCTGGAGCAGATCTCCAAGGCCCCATTTGGTAAGACCAAAGCTTTAATTTTACTCCAATGGGCCACACAACCAGTTTGAGCATCTATCCCAATAACGGAAAATCCAAATGGGGGTCTGAAATATGATCACTGAAAAATTAGGTATAAAGTTATTGTGCCTAAGTAAGGTGGACTTATTTGCCTTTAATCTTAGGTCCAGTGGTGCCCAAAAGATAGTGAGTTCCTCCTTTAAATTTAGTGGGTTTCGCCCTGGCTGGTGTAGCTCAGTGGATTGAGTGCAGGCCTGCGAACCAAAGGATCACGATTCGATTCCCAGTCAGGGCACATGCCTAGGTTGTGAGCTGGTTCTCAGCAAGGGATGCATGAGAGGCAACTATGCATTGATGTTTCTCTCCCTCTCTCCTTTCCTTCTAAAGATAAATAAAATCTTTATAAATAAATAAATAAATAAATAAATAAATAAATTTATTTAGTGGGTTTTCTGGGAATTACCATAATTTGGAAACTGGTATCAATTAAAGCCATAAAAGGTTACACATTGTGTGGTGACCAATGGACCACCATGGCTGTATAGAATCAGTTGTCTGTGGATGGCATCTGGAGTCCCAAGGGCATGCTATATCACTGTAAAGCTAGGGAGGTTGCCACTGTTTCAAGTTAGGAAATTGGGCAGTGGGTCCTACATCCTAGAGATCTGGGTGGGCAAGGAAGAGACTGAATGCTCTGTAGAGTTTGTCATAGAACTTGGAGCTCCTTGGGGTGTTACTGAGATGAGATAACTGGAGAAGCCCTGATGGCAGTGTTACCAACACCAGATCTTCTGGTGAGGGCTCTATAGTGGTAGAGGGCAGCCCTGGAAACTGAAATGGGTACTTCCTTCAGTAACAGAATCTGTTCATTAGTGTCTGTGCCATAGGACAACATAGGTGTTTTTTCAAACAATCCTGAGGATCAGAATCTTTTGTTGGGGTACCAACAGAATATTTAAGTCTCTTAATCAGACATCTGAAGAGTACCTGACTTAACAAACCTCACAACTGTTTTTTCACTCTCTAATGACCCCTCTTTCACAAGCAAGCAACTGATAGGTGCATATACTGCATAGGACATCAGTCTTTCCCAAGCATTTCTGTAGAACAGAAGCCAATGCCTGGTGACAGACACAACCAGCAGTCACAGTGTAAGAGGCATTCCCCTGAGCCTAGCATCAGTCACAGCTTATGTTGGAACTAAGACATGAAATTCTAAGACACACATGGATGTATCCAGACCAAGACACACAACCCAGGACCACTTTAATGAGGGCCTCAATCCCACAAGTAATAGAACAAATGCCACTTTCTCAGGCCCTCTTTTCCAGAGTTCGCTGGACCCCATAAAGCATGACTGACCCTGTTTTATGAGCCTTTATCCTCAGGACTAGAAAATTACTGGAAGCACCCTGAAGGTGCAGAAGCTCCAGGAACTTGCAAAACAGGACATATCAGACCACGACTACAGGACCCTACACCCAAAGATAACAATGAAACAGGTTGCAGCCTAACTGAAACATCCTCCTGTACAACTGCCCCATTACCCAATAAAAACTCAAAGCCGTAACCCCTCATTGCTGGTGCTGGTACATATCTCCACACCTAGCCCTTTCTCTCACTTGGGAAAGTAAAATAAAACCTTTACTCTGTACTTTCTCCTCTTTGTGAATTCTTTCAAAGCCTGTGTCACCATCCCCAACAAGCCCATCCCTAAACATCAACTATCAAACTGTCTTAGGTTGGTTATGCCTATAACAGAGGTTCCATAAAATTCAGCAAATGAAGCACAGAGCCATACAATTCAAAGTGCAACCTTACCTGCAAGCAGCAGAGCCATCTCCCCAACTATTTAAAGTGTTTTGTACCCCGTTAGTAAGATGAGCAAGAAAAGAAAGATCTTAAAGTAGTGGTGGTCACCAACAGTGTTAATATAAGTCTAGTGCTGACATGTTGGTGAAGAAAAATGTGGGGCTGTATCTGCAGCAGTCATGGGCTGGATGTGTAAATGCATGCAGAGGCAGCACCCCTGCCAAAATGGATGGGTGTGGCACTGAACTTATGAAAGGAAAATCTGGCCCTAGACCTGCCTAGTGTTAACCACTAGAAAAATTTTCATTTTATATCCTTTTGTAAAGCCTGTGAATTTCAAGGACTGAATCATGAGACCAAAATACTCAGGGGATTTTTTAAAAATATCCCTCAGAATTTTGGTTGTATCAATAGATATGGAAAGCTATCATTTTTGTCTGAAAACTAAACATGGCCATCTTGTAACCTATTTGTTACCAAAGTCTTCCCCTTTAATTGTGCATGCATCTTGAATTTCAGAAAACATTAATTCATAACAAGGAGGGGTAGAATGTATTCCGCTGTTGAAACAATTATTTATATTATTTATATGAATAGCTTAACTAAAGTAGAACTGAAATATTCATAATGCTTTATACACACTGTGGCATACAATATAAAAGTTGTAGTGTTTTGTGATTTCTCTGCATTTTATTATTTTTATAATTATGAGCATTTTGGTAGCATTTTAAAAACAAACCAAAAAGTGGTGGTGGTGGTTATAGCCCAGAGATTGCCCTGCCAGCTACACAAATTAATTTGTGGTCACTCCACAAAGCGAGGAGTGCCCTCACTCCCAATTTCAGATTAATTGTTGAGGCTGATGACATTCCACACATTGAGAGATTCTGAAAGTTTCTTACTCATAAATGGGACACCTGGGCAGAGCAGGGCCTGCACAAACATATCTGGGGTAGCTTGTGCAGGTGGAGGGAACAGGTTAGCTTTCATAGTGGACAGGAGGTAGAACTGGATATGGGCTGAAATATGCAAAATTTAAATTTCTCATTGTCTCTAAAGGAAGAGGGGCCTGTCCAGTTCTGGGGCCAAAGTGGAGAGAAAGGTGATGCTTAAACAGTCAGTGGTCAAACATCAAAACTGGAGTCAGATTCTTTATTACAAATAGGTACTATCAACAGTTTATCAATTAGTAAATTTAAGCACAGAGAAGTTAAATTGCCTAATGGCACATAATAGTAAATAGTAGCCTTTTCTCATTCACATTTTTCTAGCCTGAATTTGTAAAATTCAACAAGGTATGAGTGATGATAGAAACTCTTTAACATTCATTACCAATTTTTTCAGCATTAAATGTTCTGATTCTGAATAAACTGAGTATCAGGTCAAAGGACTGCCACATCAACTGTATTTTACTCCAGCATGAAATCTGATGAGCTACAATAAATGAAAGGCAGGTAAAGGGTTTCCTACATTAATTATGTTAGATTATGAATTCTAAAATGTTGATTAAGGTGTGCAGACTGTCTAAAGACCTTTCCACATTACTTACATTCATAGGGTTTCTTGGCAGTATGAATTCGCTGATGTTGAGTAAGTTGTGAGGCACAAATAAAGGCCCTCCCACACTGTGCACATTCATAGGACTTTTTACCAGTATGAATTTGGTGATGGTGAAAAAGCTGGGAACCACAAACAAAGGCCTTCCCACATTCTCTACATTCATAATGTTTCATACCAGGATGAATTCTCTGGTGTTCAGTAAGTTGTGAACTATGAATAAAGGCCATTCCACATTCCCTACATTGATAAGATTTCTCACCATTATGAAGACACTGATGTTGAACAAGGTGTGAGGCTCGACTAAAGGTCTTCCCACATTCCTTACAACCATAGGGTTTCTCACCAGTGTGAATTCTCTGATGCCGAGTGAGTTCTGAGCCACAAATAAAAGACTCCCCACATTCCTTACATTTATAAGGTTTATCACCTGTATGAATTCTTTGATGTCGGGTAAGGTGTGAAGATTGTCTAAAGGCCCTCCCACAGTCCTGACATTCATAGGGTTTCTCATCTGCATGAATTCTCTGATGTTGAATAAGATGTGCGGCACGAATAAAAGCTTTTCCACATTCCTTACATTCATAGGGTTTCTTGGCAGTATGAATTCGCTGATGTTGAGTAAGTTGTGAGGCACAAATAAAGGCCCTCCCACACTGTGCACATTCATAGGACTTTTCACCAGTATGAATTTGGTGATGGTGAAAAAGCTGGGAACCACAAACAAAGGCCTTCCCACATTCTCTACATTCATAATGTTTCATACCAGGATGAATTCTCTGGTGTTCAGTAAGTTGTGAACTACGAATAAAGGCCATTCCACATTCCCTACATTGATAAGATTTCTCACCATTATGAAGACGCTGATGTTGAACAAGTTGTGAAAGCAGTCTAAATGCCTTACCACATTCCTTACAACCATAGGGTTTCTCACCAGTGTGAATTCTCTGATGTCGAGTGAGTTCTGAGCCACAAATAAAAGACTTCCCACATTCCTTACATTCATAAGGTTTATCACCTGTATGAATTCTTTGATGTCGGGTAAGGTGTGCAGACTGTCTAAAGGCCCTCCCACAGTCCTGACATTCATAGGGTTTCTCATCTGCATGAATTCTCTGATGTTGAATAAGATGTGAGCCACGAATAAAAGCTTTTCCACACTCCTTACATTCATAGTGCTTCTCACCAGTATGAATTCTCTGATGTTCAGTAAGATAGGAAAAATGACTAAAGACCTTCCCACATTCCTTACATTTATAGGGTTTCTCACCAACACGAATTCCTTGCTGTCGTATACATCCTGAGCCATAAATAAAGGGTTTTCCACATTCTTTAAATTTACAGAGTTTCTCTCCAGAAAAAATTTGCTGACGTAGAACAAGAGATGTCTTCAGGCTACAAGTTGGCATTTTTTCATAAGTCATTAGTGCTTGCCCCAGATATCCATCCTGATTTATCTCTTGCTTCTCAAACTGGCCTTTGCATACCCAGTCATCTCTGACACTGTAGCCTACAAGGCTATGACTTTTTTCCATTACCATCCACTGGGCCGATGTTCCTTCACAGATTTCTTTTTGAAGACACAATTCCTTGGTCTTATATCTGAATTCCAAGTCTGAAAGATAACCAGAAAGTAAACACATGGTGTTTCCTCTTTAGAGAGAAATAAAACTTCTATGCTAGAAATAAAAATAATGTCCCTAATAAGTGAAGATGGTATACATAGACTTCGATTTGAAAAAGAGATCAAGAGCATAAACAGTTAAGAACTATGAAGAGGTTCTTAGAAAAGTAAGTAGAGTCAGTAGTTTTCTAAATTTAGTTGTAGATCAGTCATCTAAATAGTCTATTTTAAACACTGAATGTCAACGGACTCGCATCAATAAAAATTTATACCAATAGGTCCTAGGTTTCCTATTTTTCAAAGTTTTTCATAGACTGTTCAGCTTGTTAGAAATTCTCTAAACTTAACACTTTGCATGGCTGCCTTCATATTACACTGTAAGTCTCAAGTAAAAGTTACCTCCTTAGAAAGTTTGAGCTAGATAATCCTACTTAAATTCACTTCATTCTCTCTTACTGCAGTTTTCTGGATTTTAGAATTATATAATCATTTATTTATTCATATGTAATCTTTTCTCTTACTGTAAAAACTCTTAAGGGGCAGGAACAATGGCATATCTCTCAACACAGAATAACCAACATCTTACTCATAATAGGTTTCCATAAATTGTTAAATGAATGGTTTAATTAATTCATTCAACTGCTTATTGAATGAATTAATCCATTCAATTACTGGATTAATGAAAGGAGATTATTATAGGGGTAAAGAGAAATATTATATAGATATATGCATGTATCTGTCCAGTTTGTGTTTATAATTATAGAATAGTTCTAAGCTCTTGTCCCTGGTCTTAATCTATTCCCCATCACTAAAAATACAGGGTCTGGCAAAAGTAAGGCCTGCTTGAGTTGGTTGGTAGGGTAATAATATGGGTGTAATAATATTAGTTTTAATTTGAACATTTAACCTAAAATGTTATGTGGTGTGCTTAAGTGTGATATTGTTATGTTACAGAATTACATGCCTATGATTTTATAATAAAAAGGGGCATTACTTGTGCCAGACCCTGTATGCTTTAAAACTTCATCACTTCCCTCAGAGACTAAAACAAAATTACGACCAAAGCTAGATGATTAAATGATGCAAATAGAAAAATCATATATATATCTAACCACCCATCTATTCAACTGTGTCTCTATTTATACATATACCTGTACCAATGCATCCTGCATAGTCATGACTATGTTTTCTGTCTCCTTATTTCAACTATTGAACTGAGGTGCATTTTCTTTTACTCTTCACTTAAACTTGTGGTATTACTTACTCCTTCTTCCAAAACACACTCTGCTTTGTTCCTCCAGGTCCATTCTCAGGGTCTCCCTTCCACTCCTGTCTAAGACCACTATATTTGTACTTCCCCCAAAACTGTACTTTCCCCCAGGCAATATAACATGTTTAAAGCATAATAAAAGACCTATGTAATGTTAATTAAGCAAAGGGAATTGAGAATGTTGGAAGATGAGGATCACCAACTTTTTGGTAGAATGAGCGGGTTAAGTGGAACATTAGGACTCTATTAACAAAGAGTATACTGGATGTAAGATGAAGGAAATAATGGAGAATGGCAATATAGATAATGGAATAGACTGAGAATATTCTAAAATCCTGAATGAGTATAGAATGATTACAATTATCCCTATGACTATAGTATGGAAGGTTTTGTGGATACAATGAAACTATCATCATTTGGTACAGGTGCTATAAAGATTGTCCTTGAAATAATACAGAAAGGAACTTAGGCAAAGTCTATAATAATGAATGATTTGACAGTAAAGGCTGAGAAACAGTTGAGAATAAAAGAAAAAGTAGTAATGAGATTCAGTGAGAACAGGATTCAGAGAGATTAGCATTTCATACCTCATTCTGTTGATGATTACCTATTACAAACAAATTACTTTTACCTACTTCAATCACCATCTCTTCATATAGTAATAAATATAGAAATACCTGTTCCGTAAGTTTATGAAGATTAGAAATAATATATGTAAAGTGCCTGGCATAAAGAGCTCAAGAAGCAGTTGTTACTATCATTCTTATTACTATGAAAGAAGGTTCAGGGAAAGAGGGTGAAGGAGAACTAAGAAAGGAAAATGATATTAAGTTATTCCACACCTGCACTGCTTTTCATAAAAGTCTATCATAAAGAAGACAAATGTGAAAGTAATGAAGCATGAAAAAAAATCAGAAACCAGACCACGGACCTCCAAAACTCAAGCAGAAAGGTAAATATTATTCTAGAATCATCCTCTTGTTCATGCCCTAATTATCTGCAATGTTAATTTTACTGTCAATTATATTCCCAATGGCCTTATCTAGTTTAAATTCCACAGTTCATCATTATAACTTAACTTGCATTCTTCCTAACCCTGAGTAAATCCAATCCTACCCACTGTTCTTCTCCACCTGAATACTTAAACGTGGCTGGTAAAAAACACACCATCTTGACTATAACCACACAACTCAAATACATCCTTAGTGTTTGCCCTCATCCCTACTACATTTCTTATTCTTTCACTCTGGGAAAATATTCCCCACCTTTTCTCTCTCCTAAAACCTCAAAACTATCTCATGACTGATTGATGTCCATACTGATTATTTCACTGAGAGAAAAAGAAAAGAATGAGAACATTTTCCATTATGTAAGCAAATCAACCAACTTGTACATAAACTCCAATAGCCTGTTATCTCTGCTGATAAAGTGCTCTTGCCAAGGCCAATACCACTGTTGGGCACCAAAGAACATCATCTTTGATATAACCTCTTCTCTTACATGCTTCTGCAGTTCACGCCCCCTTCTCTTTCAAAAAGGATTTTTCCTGATCTCCTGTTTTGGTCCCATCAGCATACAAAGACACTCCCATATACTCTCTTGTAAAGTGCACACACACACAACTTCTTGATCTTGATCAGAGAACCTGCCCATGCAGCTAAATCACTTCTTTGTCCCTAGCTTTACAAAATTTCATACTACAATAAATCCTCACTTATCATCACAGATAGGTCCTATGACTTTTAAGCAAACCAACCTATAATGAAACAAGTTTTACCACAGGTTTATTAATGTAAACAAGAGTTAAGTTCCTACAAAGGGAAAACAAAATGACATTATTTGAGGACCTGCTATAGTTAGTTCCCACTTCACCATCCACCTATTGTCTCGCTCTCTATTTTTTATTTTTTCATTAAAACTGCCACAAAACAATGTAAACTTATTCAAGTGGAAAAAAGCAATGTAACAATTACTCAGCTTCAACAACTGCCAACTTATAATTTTGTTTATTCATTCACTTCTCACAGCAAATTCCACAGATTTTTAAAAAGATTTTATTATTTATTTATTTATTTATTTATTTATTTATTTATTTATTTATTTTTTTATTTTTATTTTTTAGCGAAAGGGGAAGGGACGGAGAGAGGGAGAGAAACATCAATGTGTAGCCTGTCATATGCCCCGCAATGGGGACCTGCCCAGCAACCCAGGCATGTGCCCTGACTGGGAATAGGACCAGTGACCCTTTGGTTCGCTGGCCTGCACTCAATCCTGAACTACACCAACCAGGGCTCCACAGATGATTCTAAAGCAAATTCTAGGCATCATGTTATTTCATCTTGAAATACTTCAGCATGAATCTCTAAGAGAAGGACATTTTTGCAAAAGTATAATAATATAGTAATCATACCTAAAATTTAACAGCAATTCTTTAAGATCAAATATCCGCCCTGGCAGGTATAGCTCAGTGGATTGAGCACCAGAGGGTCACCAGTTCGATTCCCAGTCAGGGCACATGCCTGGGTTGCAGGACAGGTCTGTCCCCAGTGGGGGGGCCTGCAACAGGCAACCACACATTGATCACATTGATGTTTCTCTTCCTCTCTTTCTAAAACTAAATAAATAAAATCTTTTTAAAAAACTATCAGATCAAATATCCACTTAGTCTTTCTATTTAATTACTTAATTATAAATGAGTCATTTTCCATTTGTGTGAACCAGGATGGATATGAAATCTATATATAAAACTGACTGATATCTTTAAGTCTCTTTTACTCTATAAGATATATAATTAAAGATAAAATGCAGGTTGAGTTCAAAATAATCCTTCCAATTTATATTCAGAGCTATATGGTTTTTACTTAATGTCATCAGTCTTACATCTGTTTCTTTTATCTCATACTGAAAATCTCAGTTTTCAAAGACTCCACCTAAAATGCTCATTTATTTTATTCCACACTACATACACAATATTCTCAGAATAACAATATCAATACTTCTACCACTAATATTATTACTAAAAATGATTTAAGGTGAAGAGGGTGTTTTTTGGTGGGGAGGACATTAGTTTCCTTTGTCTTTGCACTGGACACATTAATATTGAATTGTTTCACTTTTCTTTTGATCTCAGAAATTGTTCTAAATTTAATTATTTTAAAATTGTTAACCACTCTTCCGCCAAGATGGAGGCATAGGTGGATATGCCGTGCCTTTCTCACACAACCAAGTTTAGAGACAACTAAATATTAGCAACAGAAAACACAGCCAGAACACAGAAAATTGAACTTTTCGGAAGTCTGTTAAAAACAAATTCTTCAGCCTGACCGGTAAGGGGCAAAACCAGCAGCTAGTGCGGCAGGGTTGCACAGGAAAACTCGGTCGGACAGACTCAGGGGCGTGGAATCCAGGTGCACGGAATCCAGGCGCAGGGTTGGACCTACTGAGCGACCGAGCCAGCGACCAAGCAAGCGACCTCGGGGGAAACAGCGAGGGAGCAGGGCTGTGGGCAAGGGAGCACTTATCTGACTGTGGTCGCGCATTTGTGCGCGGATAGACAAGCGAGGGAGTGGGCGATTGGACCGGAACCCAGCCAGTCCCCACAGCGAGTGGCAGGAAGGGCACGGCCATTTCCCTGCTCTGACCCCACCTCCACATAGCAGCGTCATAACCCAGCGACCCTGAGTGACCCAGCCCTGGTGAACCACTTAAGGTGCTGCTCCTC